AAGAAAAGAAAAGAAAAGAAAAGAAAAGAAAAGAAAAGAAAAAGAAACAAAGGGCAGAAATTAGAGAGATGCAGTTACAAACCATGGAGGCAAGGACTGTGAGGAGCCACCTGAAACTAGGAAAGGAACATGGAACAAAATTTCCCCCAGAGCCTCCAAAATGGGTTAACCTTTGACACCTTGATTTTGGACTTGTGACCCACTGAATTGTGAGAGAATAAACATCTATTGTTTTAAGCCACACACTTGGTTTGTTAATGGCAGCCTAAAGAAACAAATAGAGGGCCTAAAGGTGTCATAAGGTCAGGCTGCTGGGAGCATACTGGGGCCATGTAGAAACTGACTTAGAAAAAGTCACAGCTGGAGTAAGAACCTTGAGCTCCTGCTAGCTCCTACAAATCCCAGGAGCCCCTGCACTCCTAGGCTGCCTCAGTATCTGTCCAACAATGACCCTTTGTTGTATAAACTGGTGAAGCCACTTTCTGTGACTTCTAACAAATTTTAAGCCCTTAAAATAGTGCTTTCCTTGAATTCTACCAGGTCAGGAAACGTGTGGAATGCAGCAAGAGGTAAGAGAGGACTCCACAGATTCCCCTAAGCCAGAAGCTGGTGCCAGCCAGTCAGCAAAGGGCCCCCTGCCTCCAGAGTGCCCTCTGAGGGCAGCAGGCCAGGCTCCAGGCTTGAGGCAACCACTCAGATATCATGGGGAGGGCACCAGAACGTTTCGGAATACTCCACCCTAGAATTCAGGTATGTACCTTCATGACCATTTTCTCCCAACTGCGAAGTTGAGGGAGGTAGGGGTGCTGAGGCGTCACTTCTAGTGACCAGAGGAAAGGTCTCCAGAGACACTGCAGTGAGAGTCTTCTGCTGAAAGAGTTGAGTTTATAACCATAAAGGCGGAAGGGAGGGAGAAAGTTTCCAGGCTGTGCTCGCTGCTCTCTGCCCCATAAGTCAACCTTCTGGGATGAGAGGACCCCTGGGCCCTAGGCTGGCTCACATTGTGAGGAAGAAGCTGCCAGCTCCACTATAGGTCGGGCAGCGCAGGTTACCTGATGCCTGAAAAGAGGTGATTCATACACTTCAGTTACTCTATGAGTCTTTGGGCGGCGGTGGGGATAGAGAAAAAAAGACGTAGGTGAGGCCAAGACTCAACCTAGCCCGGGACACGGCCAGACGCTTTCCTTTGCCTCTTTCACCTCTCATCAGTAGTGGCGAACCTATGGCTCGCTGCTACAGCAGGCTATTATCACTGAAAATTCTAAAAGGTGCACCATCACTGCCATTGAAGGTAAGCAGATACTTTCTCCATGTCTTCCACCACCGGGAGGGGAAACAAGGGCAACTATCCCTGCCTTGTGCCCTGTAGCTTCCATCGCCTGGCCACTATCTTGTTTGCTTGGATGTGGTTTTTCACAAGCGGGTGCTGTATATTGCAGTCATTTGTCGGGCTCTCTGTTACAAAAGCGTCCTGCTAAGTGACCCATGACCATCTTCTCATATCTTCCACAAGTAAACGCGTGTCCAGTCTTAGACAGGAAAGCGAGACTGGCACGCGGGTGGGGGTGGGGATGCTTTGCCCCAAGTCACGCTGGCACTCAGCAGCTGGAATGGGGATGAGAACCCAGCCTCGCAGCTGGCTCCAGGTCTCACAGCTCGCCGCGCAGCTCTGGCTTCCCATTCCACCCCAGTGAGGGGCTCCCGGCCCGCCCCCGGAGGAGCGTGCCACGGCCGCTAATCGCCTGCCGACCCCGCCCGGGTTTCACCGCCTGGAGACACCGGGGTCTGCTCAGCCAGAGCCACTCCTGGGCCGAGCCCCGCCGCCCATTGGCCTGCGGTAATTACGGGCACGCTCCGGGTGGGGGAGGGGCGGGGGCGGCCTCCCGCGAGCATAAATTATGCAAATGCCCGGCGCTGCACGGGGCTGACCTGCCGCCGCGCTCCATTCACCCTGGCTGCCTCAGGGGTGGAGGTGGCCAGGGAGGGGGGCTCTCATTGTTGCGCCGGGTACTTAAGGGGTCCTGAGGCCAGTCGTGTGCCACACTCGGTGCTCACACGAGCTGATCTGATCGCCGGCGACATCACTCGGGAGACCAGCCGGCGCGTGGCCCCTGCAGGCGAGGCGAGGAGGCAGAGCCAAGTTCCCCCTGAGCTCCTGCGCCTTTCCAGCCCCGGCGCCCGCAGCGGGCACAAAGTAAGCCCGGGCCTTTCAGAACGTAAGTGCCCCAGCAGACCCAGCGGCCCTGCCCTCAGCCGGGCTCCTGCCGTCTGGTCGCCGCCGTACCATCCATCCGTCGATCCCGCACTTCGCAGCGATGCCAGCCCCCCTGGAGACCTGCCTCTCCGACCTGGACTGCGCCAGCAGCAGCGACCTGTCGGGCTTCCTCACCGATGAGGAAGACTGTGCCAGTTTCCAGTCTCCAGCCCCCGCCTCGGGGCCGCCGGCGCCCGCCCGCAGGGGTGCCCGTGGGATGCCGGCGGCGTCCGACGTTCCAGGGGCTCAGGACGAGGAGCAGGAGCGGCGGCGACGCCGGGGCCGTGCGCGGGTGCGCTCCGAGGCGCTGCTGCACTCGCTGCGCAGGAGCCGGCGCGTCAAGGCCAATGACCGCGAGCGCAACCGCATGCACAACCTGAACGCGGCGCTGGACGCGCTACGCAGCGTGCTTCCCTCCTTCCCCGACGACACCAAGCTCACTAAGATCGAGACACTGCGCTTCGCGTACAACTACATCTGGGCACTGGCAGAGACACTGCGCCTGGCGGATCAAGGGCTGTCCGGGGGCGGTGCCCGGGATCGTCTCCTGCCTCCGCAGTGCGCCCCCTGTTTGCCCCGGCCCCCGAGCCCAGCCAGTGACGCTGAGTCCTGGGGCTCGGGTGCCGCCGGCTCCCCCTGCGCCGCCGCCGCCTCACCACTCTCTGATCCCAGTAGTCCTGCTGCCTCCGAAGACTTCCCCTTCGGCCCTGGCGACCCCCCTTTCTCCTTCCCTGGCCTGGCCAAAGACTTGCTCCACACGACAACGTGTTTCATCCCTTACCACTAGGCACTCTGCAGGCACCATTACCTTCCTCTTCCCCCAGTCAACTGCAATAGATGGACTTCAGCTTCGGCCTCAAAGTCCCTACTCCGGGCAGACTGGGTGGGGTGCGGGCGCTTTCAAATGGTTGAGGGATACCTGAGACGCTTGTTAGGTCGCTGCACCCTCGTTGAGGCTGCCCCCTGGTCTGTTTCTCCAGCCTTCAGCCCCTGGCCCCTCCTGCCCGCCCTCAGACTGGCCTTTCCTTTTGCACTTTTCTGAACTCCACAAAAACCTCCTTTGTGGCTGGCTCAGAACTGACCCCAGCCACCACTTCAGTGTGATTTGGAAAAGGGACAGATGAGCCCCTGAAGACGAGGTGAAAAGTCAATTTTACAATTTGTAGAACTCTAATGAAGAAAAACGAGCATGAAAATTCGGTTTGAACCGGCTGACAATACAATGAAAAGGCTTAAAAAGGAGACACAAGGAATGGGCTTCATGCATTATGGATCCTGACCCCCACCACTACAGTCTCGCTCTAGGAAGAACCCCAGGCTTGCGTAGCTATTCAGGAACTGGGCTGGAGGGTACTTTAATTTATTCAAGACACTTCATTCATATGAAAATGTATTTTTGTATATAAAGATTTTATTATGAACTATCAAGGTTTACATTTTTTTGTACTGCAGATGCTTCATGTAAATAAAAACTAAAAAAAAAAAAATCACCAAGTTTCTTACCTAATCTCAGTGTCTCTGGACTTTTTCTTCCCTTTCACCGGTGGCTAAACCACTAAAGTGAAACACTATCTCCATCCACTGCAAACCCTCTCATCCTGTTTCAAAAACAATTATAAAATAAAACGCACCTGATTTCCACCAAGAAGCAGATAAAGACAGGCCAGGGTGTTTGGGATCCATCATTTCCTTTCACGTTTTAAACACAAGGGAGATCTTTCAGGCACCCCATAAGCCAATTAAGACTTTTTAGTGGGGAATTAGCCCCGGATATGCTGCTACCTGTAGAGGTAGGGGCGGTGAGAAAGTCTTTCTTTTGAGGAACTCCGCATCAGCTGGCTCTGTGTTTCAAAGAGAGAGGATTAAAAAGATCAATATAATGTGTGACCACTAGTTGGGAAGTCTCAGTGACAGGTGGGCTTAGGCTGGGCAAGCAGAAGGGCCCACTCTCCTAACAGCCTATTTAGAGGGGGAAATTGATTTGTAGGCAATGCCTTTAAATTGTTGTCTATTGAGGCTTGGGTCACTCTAGCTGTGAGATGTGGGATGAATTATGCTGGTATGGTGTCTGGGCGTGGGTGAGCAGCTGCCTTAAATTATTAGGTGGGGTGCCTGCACCCCATTCACCACACTATATATTTATACCCACTGCAGTCTGAAGTGTGGTGGAGGATTCCACGCAGAGGGGGGCTGTGCTGGGCCTGCTCAGCCAGTCAGTCCTTGGGGCAATAGCCAAAGCTTTCATTCACTGCCAGAGAAGTCTCAGCAGGGACTTTTCTGGCAGTAGTATGTCTGTCTGTTTTCTGAAAATTAGCTAACAGCACCAGCCAGTAGCAACTTTGTTTTAGAATTCAGAATGGGGATGGTACCAAAGCAGTTGTCCTTGTCTATTTCCCCAGCCCCTCATTAAGTTACCCTACATTACGGCCAACTTTTCCCCAACTAGACTACCTACTCCCTTTTATAAAGAATATACTTATTTAGCAGTGAGTGAAGGAGGTAGGACTAGGCTCGCAAAAAGAATGGCATCTAAGGTGTTATAGAAAATAAGAAAGTGAACAGAAGCAGAGCAAGGCCACCAACAGCACTTCTCCTGATAGAAGTGTGTTTCCTCTGCTCTTGTTCTCTTGCTGACTTAAATTCACAGATTTCTATGCTGGTCCTCAGTAAGCATCACAAAACCCAGCTATGAGCAAGGTTCCTCCTGTCAGATTAAAAAAAAAAAGCTACATTACAGAAAAGTCTGGGCAATTGGACACCTTTAATTGTTCTCAGAGCAGAGACAGGGTTCTTCAAAAAGATGCTTTTGAAGTTATGAAGACCAAGAACAGAATGGCTCCTGCTAAATGCTCCAAGAGAAAAAAGTTGTATCTCTTGAATGGCCTGCCCTGGGGCCTGCTCTACCATCAATATCAGAGTTGCATTACTAGTTTTGTATTTCCTAGAGCAAAAACACACAAATGGTCTGAATCAGATGCTCTGCTCTTCATGGATGAGATGCTTAGCAATGAGGGACCCAGGCTGGGTTTTCAAGAAGGACAGGTCCCCCAAGAAACCCTGCAACCATGATGCAGATGCTGTCTGAGACAGCAGAAGAAAACAGTACATTGTGGTTTTTTGTTGTCTAGAATTCTTGGGAAAGTCCCAGCAAGGACTGGAGTAGGAGCTTTGTCTCATACAGCTAGACACAACCAGCTCTGGAAGCAGGGGAAACATCATTACACCAAGACTGAAGAATAGCACACTGTATTCCCAATTCTATGTTGCCACAATAGACTTCCAACTCTAAGGTGCAGGACCTGTAGAACACTTTTCCATAAATTAAGGTCTTTAAGGACATCAAGTCTTTAATGACATTGTTATCTGGGGTAGGGGGATCTCCACCCTGCCAGTTAATGCTATTCTTCCAAGGAAGCAAGCATCTATGTGTAGCCCTGGAAGCTCTCAAGGAGGAGAAAAGCCTGAAGGTGATTTAAAATGCTTATCCTCAGCTCAGGGGCCTCTTTCTTCCTGCAGTAAAGTCTTATTCATCCCTGGCATCTGTGAAGGAAGGCTGAAGGGTTACTAATCACTTATAGAGCAAAGAACTTCCTGCTGGCAGCCACATTTCACTGTCCGCAACATCATTTTCCATTGAAGAATTGGCAGCACTTAAGTAGTGTAGTCTTATTTATTCTCTCCCTTGATCTCTTTGTTTTTGTCTTGGTATAACATACAAATATTTTGTATGTATCAGAGCCTTTAGGAAGCCAGGAAAGGGACAATTTCAATGAAATAATAAGATGAAGATTTCACTTACTCTCTCATTTCCTTAATAATTCTTCTTATCACTCTCCTTCTATGTGCTGGGCACCTTTCCAGGCACTGGAACCACAACAGGCAAAGCCCTTGTCCCCAAAAAGCTTATATTCTAGTGGATAAAAACAAAATAAATTTGTAGGGGCCAGGGAGATGGCTCAGTGGAATAAACACTTCCCTGGCAAGTGTAAGGGCCTGAGTTCAATCCCAGTTCTGAAAAAAAAAATTAGGTTAAGTGCTAGGGAGGAAATAAAATAGAAGAGAGGGCGTATAAATGTCAGGGTAGGAGAGAGATGCTTTTTTGGAAAAAAATTCTTAGGTACTCTATAAATGAAATGGCTTTTGGGAAAGGGTCCAAATGAAGAGAAGAAATGTTATGGTCTGAAGATGAGTGGTTGGGCCGGTGAGACAGCTCAGTGGACTAAACACCTGCTTAGGCAAGTGCAGGGACCAGGCACCACATGCCCCACGAGTCCTGCCCCCAGGCATGCTGAGCCAGCCACCAAGACCAAGCATGGTGGTGCACACCTGTAATCCCAGAGCTGTGGAGGCTGAAAACAGGAGGATCACT